AGAAAGTATAGACGCCGTAACTACGTTTTTCTATAACTTTGAAGGTATGTTACAAAAAATTGTAGTACTAATAAGAAAAAACTTATAATACGTGGGGCTTTTAACATAGATATTTTACTATGTTCGCGGTTTTCAACAGAATTAGAAAATAAATTGTTAAATTTTAACTTACGGCCAAGTATATGCGAACCAACACGTTTACAGAGTGGCAAGTGTATTGATAATATAATTCATAATATAAGAGGCAGTAAAGGTGAAGTGGTAGATCTTGGGATATGAGATCGTACTGGTCAAGTCTTAAAATGTCCTGTTAACAAATCATACACTATTTCTCATTGGTTCGTGTTAAAACGGGATTACAGCATAGAAAACTTAAATAAATTTAAAAATGCCATCAGAAGTCTCAGTTTTAATAGTGTTTATGAATTCCTTGAGCCTAATGAAGCGTTTAACGAATTCAATGTATTATTTAAACTATTTTACGATCTTTGCTTTCCGACACTTAAAATTAAAATTCTTATAAATTAAAACTTACTTGGGTTACAAATGGTATTAAATTGTGTTGTAGACGTAAAAGAGAAATGCTAGAAATTCTCGACTACACCCTAGTAAGGAAAATAAAAGAAAGCTTAAATTTTATACTAAACGATTTAAAAAAAAATCATTAATTTGACGCTAAAATCGTCTAATAGTTATTATATCAAAAATTCGGAGAATAAAGAGGATAAAACAAAAGCCACATGGAAAGTGACAAAAATTAATTTCAATAATATATATATATATATATATATATATATATATATATATATATATATATATTTCCGGTTCATATATACGAACCAGGAAACATTGCTGTCGAGTTTAATAATTAATTTATCAATGAAGTCCAGCCTATAAGCCAGTTTAGTAATGACCACCAAAGTTTTTTTTATAGGATATGGTGACAAACGAGCACACAGTCCACATGATGGTAAGTGGTTGCTATGGCCCTACATCACGACATCTACATTTATCCCCGATTACGAATCAAATTGCAGATGCGTTTTGATCCGTGAGGACTAAGATGGAATGCCTCGTTTTCAGTAAAAAGGGTCTCTAAAGGGTTGTCTACACTCACCATACGAACACAGCAGCATTATGCTACTATTTGACGCTGGTATTCCGTGAGAGCGTGGTCCTTCCCCGGTCGAGCCGACCCATTCGTGCTACAACTGTACTACTAATATAACTGCAGCATGGCTCTACCACGTATATATAATACGTAGTAACACGCCTACACTTTTTTCAATATGTAAAGGTAACAATTAATAACACAGCCCATTTTATAATAAGTGATTATTGCGACCCATAGACACAAATCTATTACTACTACTATTTTTTTTAATTACTTTTCTACTCAAATGCTGTGTTCGACATACTTACGGGTGACGAAAGCTGGATTTATTGTTATGATCCTGAAACTAAGAGACAGTCTACTGTCTGGGTATTTCCTTCCGAAGTGTTGCCAACCAAAGTGAAGAGAGGTCAAAGCGTGTGAAAAAAAATATGGAGCCTCGTTCTTCGGAAGGAGAGGTCATTACGCAACAATTGTTTTAGAGGATCGAAAAACAGTTACTGCAGAGTGGTACACTAACAATTGTTTGCTACTTGTTTTAGAATAAGTTCGCGAGAATTGACCTCGCAGTAGAATCCTCTTTCACCACGACAACGCCTTGTCGCACACCGCCAAGCAAACCATCGACTACTTGGCGCTTCACTTCACGTCAGACGTGGAATTACTGGGTCACACGCCCTATAACCCCAACCTCGCATCTTGCGATTATAATTTATTTTCGAAAATAAAGTAAAAACTTCGAGGAAAACGTTTTATGGACACCGAGGAAGCAGTGGCTGCGTTTCAAAATGCCATAGAAGAGACTCCTAAGGACGAGTGGGCAAAGTGCTTTTCTCAGTGATTCCATCTGATGCAGCGATGTATTAATGAAAATGGACACTATTTTGAATAGATATAATAAAACTAATAACTTGCTAGTTTGTTCAGTTTGTGATTTTCTAAAAACCTTCAGTGTCACCCTCGTATTACATATGAAAAATTGATCATAAACATTATAAAAAATCTAAAAAAGATGAACGCGCGTTAAATAAACTAATATTTAACAATATTTATTTTTTATCATTATTATTATTATTAATAAGGGATTTTAGAGAGATGTAACAACTTCTTTAAAAAGCAACATCACAATAACACAGTGCAGTTTGCTAACTAGGAGGTTTTAGCGACGGATCGAGAGGCGATGTATCATTCGAAAATACAGACGTATTACGGCGCCTCTAGACGTTGGCCAACACAGTGGCGAATGTAGTGGCCAATAGCATTGGCCAACGTGTAGACGGGGTGTTTGGGCTTCATTGGTATGTATTGGAACGATGGCCCGCAAGTTGGCGCGAGATCCGTGTGGTGTCGGTTTTTTACAAAAGATCAAAGGATTGTTGGCAGAGTTTGGTCGCCGCGTCCACACGTTGGGAGCGAGTTTAGTTTGCTACAAGCTCCCAGAGTGATTACACGCATCTGATTAAAATTTTATATTCACGCTTTGTAGGGTGGATGACCCAATTACCAGCCTTTTAGTGCAATTTCCACTTTAAACATTCCTACTACTTTAATTAGCGCGATTTAATTATTTTTAAACATTTGTTTTAATCGATGAGCCATTTATCAAAAAAAAATGAACATTTATTTACAATCAGATTATTACGAGAACAATTTTAAAATGAAAAAAAAATGAAGCACGTCGTTTATACGTGGTAGAACCATGCAGTTATATTAGAAGTATAGTTGTAGCACGAATGGGTCGGTTCGACCGGGGAAGGACCACGCTCTCACAGAATATCAATGTAAAATAGTAGCTTAATGATGCTGTGTTTCGTATAGTGAGTGTAGAGAACCAGAGACACTTTTTAAAGGAAACGAGGCATTTCATCTTAGTCCTCACGGGTGACAACGCATCTGCATTTTGATTCGTAATCGAGGATAGATGTAGATGTCTGTGGGCCACAGCAACCACTTACCATCAGGTGAACTGTGTGCTTGTTTGTCACCCTATCCTATATAAAAAAGCGTCGATTTCTTATAATTTAATCGTGCAAGTTTTCGAATCATCATCATCATTACAGCTCTTCACAAGTCCGCTACTGAACATCCTCCTCCACAGACTGCCGCAAAGCATGCTCCTGAGCCACTTTGCTCGTCATGAGTTTTTCATTTATGTTCTAAGTTATAATTAGTACCTATTATTAAGTCAGTGTTAATTATATTTATTGCTATTGTTTTTGTCTTTCTCATAAAATAATTAAATTACCAAATAAATTATAAGGTGTTTTTTATATACATCAAATGTCTGATAGAAATGCAAGTACATATTTTGCTAAACTTTAAAATCAAAACCCAATTTTAAAACATAGAATAATCGATTATAACTCTTTTAACTTAAAATAAGTTAAGTTCTTATTAATGGTATTTAATCCAGTTTATGATGCATGTAAAGAATAAATAAAGCTAATCGTATATCGTATATCTATTTACAACCCCATTAATATACACTATTATTTTATAATTCTTTTATAAAAACGTTAACCCCACACTAGGATTTTCTCCCGTATCGCGCAGGCAGCTTACAAACATAAATTGCACAAGGACACACGTCCAGACCCGAAACAATTATTTGTCGGACATACAAATACTTGTTCCGTGCGGGATCAAACCCGCGGCGCCCGGCGCAGCCACTCATTGCTGAGCCACTGCGCCACGGTGCTTACAAATTCGTCCGCACATTGGCCCGAACCGAAGTAAACTGAACGGCCTTCCAACGTGTGGACGCCGTCACCAACTCTCGGCCAATATGTTCGCCACTCCATTCGCCACTGTGTTGGCCAACGTGTAGAGGCGACATTAGCGTTGCGTTCAAAAACTCCGCCAGCCGTGTCTGGCGAGAGTAGGCAATTTTTTTAAGTTAAGCATGTTAGATGACGCATTCAAGAATAGACCGATATCCAACTGCCGATCAAAAATATAGATATAGAAAAGAACAGGCAACCCCGGGCATAAAAACAGTACTCATATCTCCTTCAAAAATATTATTGTAAGTAATAACATATTTCTATCCAAACATACATGTAATTGGTTAATGTATACATATGCCCTGTTTTTGCAACGCTAAAATTCAAAATTATAAAATAACATTTGAATATGAATCCTGAATATGAAAATATCAAGTAAATTTGTTGTATTATTTCATCCACGTATTTCATCAACAAAGACCTTAAATGAATACATTCTAATGTTACGGATTACAAATCAGAACAACTAAGAAAACAATACCTACAAACATTACGCCTTCTTCTCCTCTTCCGACAAAGCACACGAGCAAGGTTTGTATCCTTCATTTAGCGCGCTGGGTGCAGTTTAAAAATGACATTAGTTTTTTATTTTTCAACTGATTATGCTAGTCCAAGCTGATCTCTAAATAAGTTTAGCCATTTTTAAGATTAACGGCACATTAGCGCAGCAAACAAAAAAAATCTGTTTACGACTTTATATTTATGTCAGGAAATTCAATACGAAATGGACTTTGCGGCAGGGAATGTGGAAGGTCGTGACGATGGGATATCATCATTGTCATATATTGCATGCGCTAAAATAGAAAATGTTGCTGAACACAATCTATGATTATAACTGGCAGGACAACGTCTACGTGGAAGAATAAATACCTTCATCACAGAATACTTTCTAAAAATAGGAACCGAAGACCCTTTTTATCGGTTTACAAGGCATTCCCTTTCAGTGTTCACTCAACACATTGAGTTATACAACACATAAATCAAATAAGTGTAACAAAAAAAAATGTAAAGTGTAACATATAAATCAATGACTCAACATATACCGGTCATACAGAAATTTAACGAAGTTTTAACCCCGTAAGTTTAAATGTGTAAAAACTAACCTGAGCGATGTCCTTTCTGGTGCAGCAAAAGTTCACGAAGGTGACGTTGACAAAGTCGGCGCCGTAACATACTGTTACAGTCTTCTCCTCCAATGAACCTTGCGAACCGATCAGCACCACGTTCCGTATCTTTGGATCCTGGACAAAAGTATATATTTCGTTAGTATGATGTTGCTACATGAATAAATAATTGTTAAATATTGCTATGTTATGAAGAATCACTAAATTTATTTCCACTGACGGTGTTAGAATTATCCACTACACTACAAAACGGACCGTGAGGGTTGTTAGAGTCAACAAGGCAAAATACCAGAAAGATCTCATTCAAACTTCGACAGACGACGGTATAAATATCGCGTATAATATATGGCATATGGAAAATACCTAGACGGTCGACAGAGAGTAGTGACCCAAACATCACTTCCGCCTCCTTAGAATGTCATTACGACACATCCCTTCTACAATATTATAGAGCATAGGTGGCGAACCTTTATGTTTAAACGTGCCATTTTTCTAAAGAAATGTTTAATTAGGTAATAGAAATGCCGCAAAATAATTTTATTTTTTATTTTTATTCTATTTTTAATAAAGAATATTAACAATTATATAGTAATGTTTATAACTATAAACATTACTAATATTCCCCTTAACCACTCGCGGTAAGCTTAAATTGCTTGTGTTACGAGTGGTTCACGCCAGTAGTCGAATGGCGGATTCTAACCCACGACCTTTTTGAGTTCGCGGTCCGCGCCCTGCCGTTGGCTACTGTCGCTTTTAATAAATAATTTTGACTTTGTGATTATTAGAAAAATAATAGTACTAAACACTATCGACTCAAAACTCCTTATTTACTCCAAAAAATAAAAAAACATTTATTATTATACATAGCAAAATACATTTTCCAATGTATATTAAAAATGTTTCAGTTATGTGGTTAATTCAAATTAAAGTAACATTGTGACTTCTGTTGCTGCAGGTTAGATGACAAATAACTTATACTGTACTTATAAATATAACACAAATGGACTTCTAAATACAGTTGTGTCAACGAACTTGACTGTTACACTATGCGTAAACGAACTATGCATTTCTTGGGGGAGGCGTGGACTTGTAAAGGGCTATAATGGTGATGATGATGAAACGAACTATGCGTCATTAGCAAAAGTAGTCCACGATGTAACTAGGATCACTCGCGTTCGTTCGTAATATAATAAATACTTCATAGTGAACTTTGTGATCCAATGTGCCCAAAATATTGTGTCGCGTGCCATCGACGGCACGAGTGCCATTGGTTCGCCATCCCTGTTATAGAGGTACTTCTACAATATTGTAGGTTATTGTCCAACAGCAGATACACTATGTGGACGGCAAATTCATTTCATATTTAGATGAGGGTCACAAAATCTGCCGCTGAAATATCTACTGATAGTTGATTTTGAAAACTCCATTCTGAGAATAATTGTGCCACACGTAAGAGCCCAACAGTTCTCTTCCGTCTCTTTGACGATAAAAAGCCGCCTGAGAACTTGTCAACAAAATATCGTAGCTGAAATCTTTGGCAGCGGTAAACAGCTTCTAATGTAAGCCTGAGACGTCTTTGACAGAGATTGCAAATAAAGTAATTAGTTAAGGATTATTTCCTGCAGTAGGCAATCACGTAGTATTGCGAGAAGTATTCATGTGATATAATCAGTTCATTTTTATTTTATTATCATAATATTTGAGTAACAAACGAACTAACTAAATGGTTTGTGGCTACTGACGTTCATGTACTAAGATGTATTTTTTACGTGGTAGAGCCGCGCTGCAGCTGTATGTACATAGTTGCATACGAATGGCTTGGCTCGATAGGGGTAGGATCAAGATTTCACAGAATACCAGCATGTAACAGCACGATAGTGGTGCTGTATTTCATATGGTGAGTGTAGAGAACCGGTATCCTTTTTTCTAGTTACGAGGCATTTCATCTGTGACTTAAGGTGCAACCACACACTGCGGTTTGATTTAATCGACGATAGATGTAAAACTTTATGGGCCACAGTACGCACTTACCATCAGATGGACCTTGTGCTCGTTTGCAAATCTATAAAAGAAACTTAACAGTCTCTGGACTGGACTCCTACCCTTAAAACATGAACACAATACCGTGGATGAACTGTTGACGGCAAAAACAAATTAAATAGGGTACATACCCAGAAGGATTTCTACGCAGGTTAGGGGAACTGATAAATAAATATATTTTTATATAAATATAACGATCATAAGAAGAAGGGAGAGTAGTGAAAGTCATAAATTATGGATGCTAATATTTCACAAACTATGGCCTAAAGAAAAAATGATTAATGACACATTCTATTCAGACTAGTATCTCCTATTATATATGCCTATCCGGCGAAACTTCCGCACGTTTAATGATATCATTCTTTTATTATACATTACAATAAAAAAATAAAAAAAATATATATATATATATATATATATATACGGGCAATCTGAATAATAATAAGCCAAATCGGGTTATGTAATGAATATTATTATGGTATAATATGACTGGTAATTTGCCATTAGTAGATACCACTCTGCGTATTCCTTTGGGGTATATAAGCATAAAATTATATTATTTTTCAAATGGACCCATTTATGACTATTACGCATGTCAGACTGAACTCGTCTGTATAGTTTCAGTGGTACAAAAAATATTAGTAAAGAAGTTAGCACTACGTTTAAAAAAATTGTTATGACGTACTATTTTTTACTCCTCAATTGATATATCATCATTGAATACTCAAAGCATCACGCGCCTATAACTTATGTTTTTATTATTGTCATATTTTACGACGTTTAACAAAGCAATGAAAGTACACAAATATTAACAACAGTGGTTGAATTATACAAAATAATTCAATTAAGGAAAGTTAAACGAAAAAAATTCTACGGTTGCCTGAAAACTCAAGTTATATTATATTGGAGTAATAAAAACCAGACGAAGTAATCAAAGCAAAATATTAGTCCAATTAAGAAAACCGCAAAACAAAACACGACAAGAAACAAAGTTAAACCAGTTAAAAGAAAATATACCGAGAATAGGGACTCCGGGAGGTCACGCCGATACTTCTTCCAAGTCCGCTACGCGTGACTGGTGAAGCGGAGTAAGAAACCCTGCCCTATTCAAGCCTAAGCGTATTGCCAAATATTTTCTTTTTCTTTATAATATAAACGTTAATTCAAATGCTACACGTAAATGACACACGTAAATTATATTAATTTCAGTTACAGTTGTCGAAGAACTTTGACTGATAATTTGAAGAAAGATGACTTTTTCACAGAAACCTAAAACATTATTAATCGTGGTAGTTCAGAGGCTGAACTCTAGTTCTATACACGTCGGCATGACACAATTGTTGATCGTAATATTATATGCAAACCTGCATGTCTGGAAAATTAAATGGAAATTTAATCTATAGGGTTTAACTATAAGCCTTCTCATTCGAGCACTGTAGGATGCAGTGTGGATGGCTAGCTTTATCAGACATTCAACAAATCTAATAAGTGTCGTGATTCTTTTCACTGTGATAATTCTTCTAGTACAAGCAAAAATTGTAGAGAAGCTGCACTGTCACATCGCAGTAAGCATTGTTGCTATTGGCTTGCAAATTTTATCGTTTTTTGGTGTTGTACCATACCGTTAAGTCTATTGAAGTCCACTGCTGGACATAGGTTTTCCCTTAGACTGCCATAGTTGCCACGCTTGGCAAGCGGGTTGGCAAACACATTTTATTTTTATTTTATTCGCTATTAGCACGACGCTGCTGCCCATATCCTGATTTCTTTCCCTCTGTCGCCTATTACGACACCAACAGGATGATATGGAGTAGTGGATATTGTTGGTGTTGTGTTGTGTGCTGGTCGATTTGTAAGTCGTCGCTGTTTTATTAATCCTTACCATATTAATTACGTAAGCAAGAGATGAACATCCGCTATCACAAGGCTATCACACGATTATTATTTTTCGCAATATATCCTCATATAATATAATGAGGCGCTCTCAAAATTAAAAGGTCTGTGCCCAGCATTAAGTTGCATTTGCATATAGATTTAATTTTAATTTTTTGCTGCATTTTGTGTTAATTACTGCCAACATATTGACAGTCAATTATCGACACGCTTGTGTGGAAATAGGATTGACTTTCCAAAGTATTCTTGCCGTATCTCTTAACCTTATGGAAGCAGCTTGAAAAAAAACTCTAGAGACATCGATAACAGTCACTGGAGGATCCCGTTGTACATGACACTTTATTTGTCCACTATGTCATTTCTGATAACACCCAAAGAAACGAAGTTCCTAGTTGATGAATTCTTTAAGTCAGAAATGTAGTTTGAACAATTTTTCAAACTCTTCAGAAAAATCATGTTATTTACCAAATTAACAAAAAGTAGTAATAAGTTTGCGATAATGACACATTTAAGCAAGCACGCACCAAGTAACACTTATTAAAATTCAAGTAATATTTTCAAAACATCGACTCTTGGCCTGTAATAAAACGAAGCATTCTAAACTTCATATGTTGTTTTGAGAAACTATGTACCTATCTAGTTTAAAGAGCCATGATTTTTAAAGCTTTTGAATTATAAATATTATCTAATCTTATTGTAAGACCTAATCCTAGAAAACTAAAACTTACGTGACATTTACTTCTGTACACCGTAATTCAAATATTCTAAATAATTTAGTTATTGTGAAGCAAATAAATTCGGAGAAATATTACAATGTTCTGACCGTGGCTAATGTTGCGTGTAATTTGTAGTGGCTTGTAGGTTAATCCGGGTCGTGTACAACGCACCAATTCGAATCTAATCGCTTTACCCATTACGCTTTATGGGAACACACGGCTTATAGTAATAGTACTATAATAACACAACATTTTAAAAATGTATATAATATCATTGAACTGAATCTTCTAGACCCAAACAAAATTAAATGTATTTCAAAGATAAAAATATTTAAAAACATTTTTTCTATTTATAAGAGGATACATAAATCCCAGGCAGTCACTCCATCTAGTGGGCGGCCAAACTACACTTAGGTACTGGTACGAGGCTACGACTCGAGAACTTTTCTTCCCCATCGGCCCATTGGCAGATGAAGCTACGACCTGATAAGAGACGCAAGAAGTCTATGGATCCTGGATGCAGGTGGCTCAAGACCGTGCTTTGTGGCATTCCTTGGGTAGGTCTATGTTCAGCAGTGAATTTGTGAAAGGCTGTACTGAATAAATGAATGAATAAGGAGATACATAAACATAGCTTGCTAATGTTTATATACTCTAAGGCGAAAACATATATTATACATTCTTCTCGAGCTTCTTATACACTTAACTACACAAAATCGTTTTTGATTGATGCGTATTTTTGTGAAATAATAAAAAAACTTTCAAATAATCTCCAACGCTCTAAGCGCTTGGTACCAAACAATGAATAAAATTCAAGTTTTGAAAGTTCTCCATGAAAGAAGTTTTTCAAATGAAAGGTACGTACATATATTCTGCAAATATATAAATGTTTTAGGTCACTGGATCGACCAGCTTATATTCGTTATTCAAATGAACACGCCATATGCAACTAAATTGGTTGTCTGGAAGAAATTGCTATGAGCAATAAGACCGTCCATTGTATACTTCTTTTGTATATATAATCTGTAATTTTGTACGGTGTGCAATAAAGAATAATAAATAAATAAATAAAATACTTAACTTGAGGCTAAGTGCTTTCTTGTTAATATTAATAAAAGCTATAAGCTATATCGGTACGGCAAAAGATATAATTATAAATATTTATAAGTTATATCGGTACGGTAAAGTTTATTAATCTCACTGCACACAAATTCATTATATGTATACTTAGTCGTGACCACCGAGCACTAACACCTAGCAGTGTGTACGTACTCGTAGACTATAACAAATATTTCAAAATACCGGGCTCCTCAGTGCGGTGACCTATTTCCATCGAAAGATCTCTACAGACTAAGTTAAATAAAAAATCCAAAAACATTCTTAAATCACCTTGACGTCTATCCATTACTTGATTAATTTTCCGGACGACGCGATGGGGAGAAAACTAATTATTAAACATGACAAGCTGATTTTAATGTTCATTTGGGAAATATATTTTTTATATAATAAAGATGACAAACGAGCACACAGTCCAACTGATTGTGAGTACTGTGACTCATAGACATTTTTCTCGATTAAGTCAAAACGCATATGCATTGTCACCCCAGAGGATTAAGATGGAATGCCTCGTTTCCAGTAAAAAACGTCTCCGGTTCTCTACTCTCACTCTCATCACGCGAAACACAGCAGCATCAAGCTGGTATTTTACGCCGGTATTCTGTGTAAACTTGGTCCTCCTGGTCGTCCTCCTCCTTGGAACCCTGGTCGAGCAGACCCATTCGTGCTACAATAATAACACACGAGTAGCTGCAGCTTGGCTCTACCACGTGCATTTTATTTGTGCTTGTCTTTAGATTTATTTCTTAATATTGACACCAGTTTAAACCAGTTGTTTTATATCCATCAAAGCGAAAGCTCTTGGTCTCATAGCCGAAATTAATAAAATTAATTGAAGAAACATTACTTTACGCACCCACGTGCGATTCGATCTTTCTTCTATTTTTAAGCTAAAGAATCACTTGATGTTTTTATGAAAACTTTATTAAGTTTTCATTATGTCATAAAGGCATCGAACGAAATTGGTTTAGATATGAGAATATTATCATTTCTTCTCGAAATTTAAAACACGAATAAGTCGTTAAAATACGAAAGTACACTCAAACAAACATTATTTAAATAGCAGAAAGTAAAGCAGTAAAACAATAGACCTTAAAACGTGATCTGCACTATTTATTAGTAATCTATAATAATCTCTATAATAATCTATAAAATGTAATATATGATATTTTGTTTCAAATATTGGATCCAAATTTTTAGATAAAACAACTTCCAAACTAGTCGGATTTCTATAAATTTAAATCAATCGATTAATCATGATTGCGTATTATATTACGTACCGTACCGTACGTAGAGTAATAACATATATTACTCTAAGGTATTATAATATAAGACGAGTATATAAATTTCTTGGTACTCGTATTATATAAGAGACTGCTCACATCACGTCAGTGTAAAGTAAATATGGCGGGCATGAACTATCAAAATACTTGCGTTTACTTTTGTTACTTAGATCACAGCAGTCGACGTCTCCTTAGTTTACTTGTTTAATAAAGATGTAAGTGTTATCGAATATCAACGAAATAAAAAAATAATATTTTCTTCGAATTACAATTTGAAGAAAATATTATTTTTGAATAGAGCCTTTGTTGCGTTTACTTGTTCGACAACCTTCTCCTCATATACTCACGTTTTTTTTTTGTAAAAGGTAATTCAGGTAGGCACACAATACAACCGTACGTATACAAAATGTATCCCCCCTCCTCGAATGTAATATAAAGCAATAGACCGACTATAAATAAGCTTGGTTTCTCACTTTAAACTCCGACCAGTCATGTCTTACGCGGGCCCCGTCTTTGCCCACGCAAACCCTAATATTATAAATGAACTCCAAATAGTTCAGAACCTCTTCTGTCGTCGAGCTGCGAACGCACCTTGGTACGTCCGTAATGCCGACCTTCATCGGGACTTAGAGCTCCCAACAATTCAACAATTTCTTAAAAAACTCTCTGAGAACTTCTTCAAAGCCTCAGAGTCGCACCCAAACCAATTAATTCGTGGACACCCCCCTCGCTATCGTGTCCGCAGGCCCAGAAACTCTCTCTCGGACCCGCCTAATAAACTGTCAAACGACCTGAACTGTCTCCTGGCGGCTCAGGCCAACTCTAATTAAATTAAATTATTGTATTAACTAACATTAATTTGCCTTCGTAGGCACTCCCTCAGCGGCTCTTAGCCGCCTGCGCCCTCTTTTCCCAAAAGAGGGTCGCTCATGATAAGGCACAATACAACTTAATCAGCCGGCTGCCTGTCCCCAAAGGCGGTTTTTAGAGGGTATCACTTAGGGTCCCCGGTAGGACAGTGAGCCCCTCATAACCACGATAGACCGGCTATCGTGGTATGCGTAATGCATTTTCCTCCTCCCTACGTATAGGGTAGCCCTTTAATTGCTTCGGGCGCAAAAAAAAAACTTTAAACTTCTGCGCCCTCCTTTCTGCCAAGGAGGGTCGCGTTCGTATACGGCTTAGAGATATCTAGTCAGATCGTTAAGCCAGTTCCTAAAAAGGTTGGGTTTAGTGGGTAAAAGTCACCACATAACCACGCAGCCGGCTGCGTGGTATGCTATGAGCATTCCCAACCTCCCTCCCCCGCTTTTCGGAGGGTTGCCCATATTTGCTTCGGGCGCAAAAAAAAAACTTTAAACT